CCACGGCCACCTCCCCACCCCAGCTCACCTCTGCTCCGCCTCCTCCCCAGCACGCCGCCCCCGCTCTAATTCTCCTCCCAGGCTTGTGGCGCCAAACAGCTGATTGGCGCTGCAAGCCTGGGAGGCAGGAGAAGTGGAGCGGCGACCGTGCGCTTGGAGAGGAACGCCATAAAAAAAATTGGGGGCACCGCTTTTTGGCGGCCCCAAATCTTGGCACCCTAGGCAACCGCCTAGTTCGCCTTAATGGTAGCACCGGCCCTGCAGCCCAACTTAACGGGGGCTGCCTATCTGTCTCAAACACCAACCTCTCCTTAAATCCGCAGTTGTCTAGGTCATCCCAATTCAGGATGCACATGCCGGCAGCAAGAGTTTAGAACCTTAAACCCATGTCAAACATTTTGGAGATCAAGATTTAAAAAAAACAAAAACACAAAAAAAATCAGATAGAAAAGTCACTGCAGAATTTGTAAGGTCACAAGCATTTCAAAAGGGTAATTTCAGCCTGAACTGCAATAACCTTAACAAAAGCTCTGTGCAAAAAATAAATAATAGCGCCCAAAACATCAGACCATCTTGAAAAATGTTATTTTAGATTTTAAAAAATTGTCCACTTTCAAGTAGGCTCAAACATATGAGCCTCAAACTAGGGTTGAGTCTTTGATCTCAATGAGATCTATCAAACAAGCTAAGTTTGAAGCTTCTAATTTCATTTAGTTTTAATGTAGGTATTCTGAGCACAAGATTTCTAAATGAAACACAGGGGTGAAAAGGGGACCACCCCCTCTCCACTTGCTCAAATAAAACCCTGAAAAAAACAACCCTGAACAGATTTGGCTCACAAGTTCAAAACAAAAAATGTATCTTTGGGGGTGAGACCAAGCATGGAAAAGTTACTCTGGAAAGGTGCGTGTTTGGTTAGATTCATAGACTCCAAGGCCAGAAGGGACCATTGAGATGATCCAATCTGATCTGCGGAACACAGGCCAGAGACTTCACTCAATTTCTGTATCTAGCCCGTAACTTGATTGAGCTACAACCCATCTGCTAGAGAGACGTCTAGTCTGGTCTTTAAGATGGCAAGTGAAGGAGAGTGCCCCAGGTCCCTAGGTAAGGCAAGAAAGGGGAGTTAGAACGGAAGCTGGGATTCCATCATGGCTGCAGCGTGCCGCTTGCAGCCAGTTATAGCGAAGAGGCTGAGGACCGGAATGGACCTAGAGCTGATCCTTGCATCTTGGGGCTGAAGCACATGAACGGTGACCTGGTTTAAAGCGTACCTGTTCTGCGTCGCATGCTGCACCTGCAGAGTGGACAGAGGGCTTCCACAGTTGCCCATCCAGCTGCAGGCAGAGGCCGATACTCACCGATCAGCGGCACGTTCTCGGAGGGCGGCATGCTCTCTGCCACCAGCAGCTGGAAGACGGTGAGTGCCAGCAGGACCGTCACCCCCAAGGAGACCTTCTCCCCGGAGTCGGCTGGGAGGTAGAAGCCCAGCGGGGCCAGGAAGGAGATCATGATGCAGGGCAGGAGCAGGTTGAAGATGTAGAAGGAGGCGCGTCGCTTGAGGAGCAGCGTGTAGGTGATGTCAGGGTAGGGCTCGGAGCAGCAGCCATAGATGATGACGTTCCTCTTGGCCGGCATGCCCAGCACCTCCCACTCCACGTTGTCCACAAAGTCCGTCAGGTCGCCCGTATCCAGCCCATTCAGGAGGTCGATCTGGTTGCCGTTGTAGGTCCACGAGCCGAAGGTCAGTCGGCACTGCTGCCCGTCGAAGGGGAAATAGGAGACGTCCACCTTGCAGGAGCTCTTGGTGATGGCAGGGGAGTCCCACATCACCTGCCCGTCGTAGCGGATCACCACGC